TCCATGCCTAGTGGTAGTTAAAATGATTAGGAACTGAATGAATTATTATTAAAAACTTTCCATGCCTAGTGGTAGTTAAAATGATTAGGAACTGAATGAATTATTATTAAGAACTTTCCATGCCTAGTGGTAGCTAAAATGATAGGAACTGAATGAATTATTATTAAGAACTTTCCATGCCTAGTGGTAGTTAAAATGATTAGGAACTGAATGAATTATTATTAAGAACTTTCCATGCCTAGTGGTAGCTAAAATGATAGGAACTGAATGAATTATTATTAAGAACTTTCCATGCCTAGTGGTAGCTAAAATGATTAGGAACTGAATGAATTATTATTAAGATCTTTCCATGCCTAGTGGTAGCTAAAATGATTAGGAACTAAATGAATTATTATTAAGAACTTTCCATGCCTAGTGGTAGTTAAAATCATTAGGAACTGAATGAATTATTATTAAGAACTTTCCATGCCTAGTGGTAGCTAAAATGATTAGGAACTGAATGAATTATTATTAAGAACTTTCCATGCCTAGTGGTAGTTAAAATGATTAGGAACTGAATGGATTACTGTAGACGTATTTCTTTCCCCGGGGTTATAATTTCGCGGAATCTCATTTTCTGTTTATTCCGCGGGTAGAAAATTACGCGGATTTCTAAGACTTTCACTATAAGCCTTACATTTGTATTAAGTATGCTTGGACAAATTTCCGCCGAAAATTTGTGATCGATCGCGTACATAGCATAAATTAATACCACACGGAAAAAAGTACCTCTACAGTATAATGAAGAATTATCACCATAATCAGAAACATTTACAGCAAATTCAATTCAAATAACAAGGAAATAATATACCGGTATTAAACATATCTAATTGCTCAAAATTTAATGAGTAGATGACTTTAAACACAAAGCATTTTATTTGTATTTCTCTAAGTAAATTACCAAAATAAGAAAACCACATCATTTGAAATGTCAAACAATATAAAACAAGGGCACTGCAGAGCGAAGCGTCCTCTTTCAAAAAGAATACATGTATCTTTAAATCAACACAGCATTCAACATTCATTCCGATGCAAATTACATCACTTCTATTTCGTACATCAATAACTCACTCACAAACGAACACATTATTGCCTTACTAAATCCCCTCCAACTTTGTTGCGATTGGATAACAAATATATCACAGCGGTGAGATGGAACTCGGAATCACAACCTTTTGAGAGAGTCCTCGAGGAACTTGACCTGGTGTGGGAGGAAGCTGTTATAGACAGACAACACACGGTTTCTCTCCCTGAGTCTGGAGAGTAGAGAGTGATGTCCAACAGAGTAGAGCTGGGGGTTGTACAGCTGACCTGGTGCTAAAGTCTCCGAGCCTCTATCTCTCACATACACAACAAAAACATCACCTGTATAAATAGAGTTATATAATTATAATGAATTTCTTAGATTCCTTGAGGTCTATTAACCAGAAGTCTCTGAGAAGATTGTAGCTCTCCTGATTTGTAACAAAATAAAGAGCGGGAGAAGGGGCACTTGGAAACTATGCAAAGCAATAATCCTTCATTTAGTTTATTTTTTGGTAGGATTTATTGCAATGAATCTATAAATGTATAGGAGAAGTAGTATTCTTAAAAAATTTTAGACAAATTTTTATTTTATTAAGTAACCTTGACAACATTCCTCATAAAAGTAAAAAATGCTGTAAATATAAAATGTTTTTCTATATAATTCATGTCTGCATATTAAGTTAAATAAAATTCAGAAGAAAACTTTAGGAGAAGTAGCATTTTGAAAGAATTTCACAGAAATTTCCATTTAAGTAACCAAGGAAACAGCACTCATTTAAAATGGAAAAAAAACAACAGCTGGTCCTTGATCAGTAGAGACTGTAAAGCTCAAATGTACAGAAACTTACATCCCATGTTGAGGAGTCCTTAAGTGGTCAGTCTGCGAGTGTTGTCGAACAAGAACTACATTTTTTTTCATTCAAGCACAGAACTTTCTGTCAATTTTTTGTGTGCATGGATTCCAACAAAAAATGAATATGTTTAGAATAATTTGTACAGCAAACATTCCCAGAAACTCGTTACAAGGGTATGGATTAAAGGTATACAATTTCCAATAATGTCTATATTTTTTGTAAAACTTACAGCCCATTTTGAGGAGTCCTTCAGTGGTCAGTCTGCGGAGGTCACCTATTTCTGTCTCCGGGTCCTCCAGAATGATGTTCCTCTCGTTAAAGTCAACAAACACAAACGCAACCTTAGAGGGCTTAATTCTTAGGATATCATTCGAACATTGGATAGGGCAAGGCTATATAAAGATAACGTGAAAATCATAACAATGCATGTTTCTTTTTAGGGTGAGATTGTAGCTTTTATGCTACATAGGTATATATTATAATAAAAAGTCTTTTTTAACTAGTCCATTGTTTATAGGATGCACACAATCTTGATATAGTAAAACTTAACAAAATTCTGTAGGATATCATTTTTAATATTACATTACAACAACATCGCAGTAAAATCTGAAATTACCGTTAATCCTTATATACTGTAAACCAATTTTTATTCGCGTGCGAGAAATATTCGCGAAGTTCGCGAGAGCCTCGTCATCGCGAATATTTCTCGCCGCGAACCGGTCCTGAAAGCCTCTGTTTCTATTGAAAACAGATCAAAAAAGTCTTGATCGCGAAAATTAATCGTCGCGAAGTAGCTTACCCCCGGTTAATCGCGAAATAAAGTCGTCGCGAATAAAAATTGGTTTACAGTATATGAATAAATACGTTTAAAAGGAACTATGAATTCTTGTCCAAAGGACTTCTTAAGAAAAAAATGGTAATAGAAAATGAATTTTAATTGCTTTTTATCGGTGAGGTAAACATATTGACCTTTCATTAAACAATTGATAAATTACAACAGTACATACATGGACTTTTGTAGAAGTAGGCTTAGGGACTGCATCTATAAGGTTCATGTGAAACTTCTGTGAAGAAGAGTTGAAGCTTATGAGGCTTATCCCTGGCTCCAAAGTTTGTCTAGATATACCTTCAACAATTTCAGATGAAAACTAAAAGAAAAAAATGTTTGATTTGTCAGAATTGAATAGACAAATGATAATATAATGTTAACAGTAGAAAATAGTGGCAGATATGCAATGGTCAACAGTGTCTTTAATACACAAAGCGCCTGCAATGACCAGAAAGATCTCAGTATACATGTTTATCACATATTTCCCCCTTTATCCCGTTGATATAGCTCATGTGATATTGTTTTCGTATCAACACTATGTATTCCTACGCCGCGTGACGTAATATAAATAAACAAATACATGTGCATGATGGAGAGAATGACTTAATTTGTAAAGAAGAAGGTATGGTTTCCATACAAATTTTGCCCTGTGATTTTCTAAAAAATGAAACTGATGTAAAAGTTGAAAACTCATGCTTTTTAAAGAATTGAAATTCAATGCAGAAAAATCATACACGTCATTTTTCTCACATGTGTTTTTAAATGGTAATTATGACGTCATAAACAAGTGCATTTTCCCGTATTTTCTTAAAAAGTTGCAGAAGACACCAATTTTCAATGGAATTTCTTTCAGATAACAATGTCCACAGGCATCGCCCACAAAGATCTTGAGATATGTGATTTGTTATTGAATTTTGCACAAAATATCAAAAAATTAACATGGGCGACGGCTGTGGACACTGCTTTTTTTTTTTTTTTTTTAAGGAAAATCACCCTTGAAATTTGCCATTTTGAGGCTTTTTCTGTTGAAAATAGAGAAATGCTTCACATTAATGACGTCATATTTGCAGAATGGTAAACCCTCATGCCATATCCTTCCTGATTTATCAGAGTCATTTATCTAACTAATATTTAACGTAGCTACGGATAGCGATCACGTGACATTGCATGTTAATTCTAAATTAAAGAATTTTTCGGTTCACTTATTCCGGAAATGCGCAAAGTTCAATATGGCGGACATCAGTTGTCAACAACGTGCTCCGAGAAAAGTACACGGGAAACGTTATAGGAAGGCTCCGCTGTAAAGGTAGATCAAGTAAATTAAAGTGAATGAGAGAATAATAACATCTTAAGAAACAGGACAACACTAAAACTTTTTTACAAAATAAAATATCCGTACATCGCAAACGACTTGCACCCCTATTCCAAAGCAGACGACGCAGCTGGTGTGAATCATAAAATGACATCAAATCGAACGAGGGACGAAGATTTGTTGAGATGAGGAACTTGACAAACCAGTTTACATGCTTACAGTCACAGTGATAAAGGCAATCGTTTGTGTCTTTTCCAACTTTGAAAGCGATGGTGACTCGGTACTTTATCTGTTTATTGCATCAATACATTCAGGCCTAAATGTGACTGATAGTACATGTACTGTACTATTTATGGATTTACTGACACTTTCCACGGGAAAGCCCGGTCCCGAAAGGAATACGATAGACTAGAGAGGCCAAAAGTAGCTCTTGGTAAGTCATATAAATATTAATATGACATAACTAAACAATTCATTTCAAACTTCTTTCATAATTATAGGCCTATTGTAATTCAGCATGACGAATAAACTTCACTTTAGTAAATTCAGAGTAAGGAACTGTCATTTGATGGGGGGGGGGGGGGCAAATTTTATCGATGTCAGATTATTTATTTGCAATGACGGACAGATAATTTATTTTTATTTCCAAGATATTATACATACACTGCCTGGAAACAGATTATTTTTGCTTTTCTTCTCTGGGAAAAACTGTGTCAATGTGGTAAACATTGAAACTGTTGGCATGTTTACTGGTCTGATGAAATTCACAAATCTTTATATTACTGCTGCTGTATTTTTAGTTAGAATATTGGTAAGGTAGTGGGGCATTTTAGTTCAAGATTTTCTTGTTTAAAAGTGATTTGTCAATCAACTAATATAATTAAATAAAATTTTGATTTTGCTGGTATACATGTATATTTATTTAATCTATTTTTTTTTTCAGCCATCAAGATGGTACTTTCTGGTATAGGACCATCCAACCCATGTAGTAAATAATTTTCTCAGCACCTGTACATGTAACACTTCACCTATTTGGTTTCCCCACTTTGAGGAAATAGAGATGTTGGCCTCCGTTAATTGTGGAACCAGGCCAAGGAGTCTTGTTGGATAGCTAGAGATGAAGAATGTTAATCAGGACCAGTTGAAATGCATATTTGATGCTGGATAGCAGACCAGGGGATCTTGCTGTCAGCATAATAGTGATAATGATTAAGTCATCATTTAAATTTTGCTATGTCTAATATAATAAGTGTAGAAAATTGGCAATTTACATGTATGAGGTGTAAACTTCTGCAAGTTATATATATACAATAACATGTATGTAATGGTTTGGGTCGTGGATATCATACAGGGTAGCTCAGTCGGTATAGCACATATGACTAGTGATTCAGGGGTCTCGGGTTTGATTCCCTGTCCATCCATACATTTTCTCTTTTCCTGTTACATATACATGTTCACCGAAATTCTATATACAGGATATAGACACCGTGAGAAATATATTTTGATGTTGACAGCAGATAATATTGTAATTTGTTAAATTTTATATATTACAGATAAATTCATAAAGTACAGAGTACAAGATATATGAATGTGAGGTTCAGACCATTCATGCTGGTGATGATTCAACTACTGCAGCTCGACCGAAGCATGACTTTCCATCCCTTCCAAAAAGAGCAGGACAAGAATCGCTTGTTGAAAATGAACTATCATAGTCAATAGACTACTTTTCTTTGTCAGTTTTATATTACATTTATCTGTTGATTGAGTGTTACATCAAAAGTGGTAACTAATCACTCCACATATAGATTTTTTTCCCCATTTTTCATGTATAATCTACCCTGTACGTGTTATGTCTGGTGTGGTAATAGATCACTCCACACGCAGCCTTTTTTTACTTTTCATGTTTAATGTACTATGTTATGTTTTGCTTATGTCAGTTGCAGTATTACGCTGCTGTAGATTATTCTTTTTTAAAAAATGTATGCATAATTATATGTCGATTTGTGATGTCGGGTTCAATAATAGGCCACTCAACAGATATTATGCATAATCTACCTTGTGAGTGTTTTTCAGGTTTGTTAATAAGGTGCTCCAGATATTTATATAGAATCCTTTTTTTAAAAAACTTTTTATATAAAATGTCCTGCGTCAAGTGTTATGTCCCAGTGCAGCATTGTCATTTTGTTTTTAGTTTTTATGTAAAGTTTATGTATGCCTCAGGCTTAGGTCAAGGACGGTTATTATCCTACCTGCTTATGGAATAAAATGACTTTTGATCAATTTGAAAGAGTACTTATCATATTTTTTTCAATGATATTCTTATTATTCTATGAAATAGAATTTTGTGAATTGTGCAGTGCTATGTCAGATGGATTTTTTTAATTCTGTATGACCAAAATGTTTTTTTTCGGACAAAGTAGCATGCATTTGACATGTTAATAATTAGGGGGATTTTTGACATTGCAATGAAAAAAATATTAGATGAATAAAGGGGGGGGGGGGGGTATTAGACCATTTTTTAACTTAATAGTTAATTACCTCTCAATGTGGCCAAGATTTCTGAGTGAGACATTGTATTGGACATTTTTGTCATACAATATATTTTTTAGAAATCTATAAGAAAACATAGACTTTGTTTGCATGAAAGTAATCAAAAGGGTTCATGTTGAAGATTTTTTTTATATGTTTTTTTAATTACATTTTTGTTCAAGTATCTATTGTTGAAATATAAATTTATATTTTAATATTTGTTGAGGAATTTTCGAAAAAAAAAAAAATAAAGCACATATTTAACAATTCATTTTTTATGGATTATTTCAATATTGGTTTAATTACCGTGGTACAAGTTTTATTGTGAGAGTAGATGGGAGGTAACTCTTTATAATATTACTCTACATGTACAATGTATATTATTTCTAATTTCAAAAAAATATTTTCTTTAGTCATTTATTAGAAATTGATTTTTACTTCTGATTTATTTCTTCAGTTGGTTTTCCCTAATTTGCTATGCAGTTTTTTGAATAGCCACTTTAATCATTATTCTTACCTTTATGACGGGAAATCAAAATGGGGGGGGGGGGGGGGGTAGTTGTGGACCATTTGGTACCTTTATTAGTCCTCAATGTGACCAAGATTTTTTGAGTGAAGAATGGTATTAGATAAATCTTTTATATAATGATAAAAAAATAAAATTCTATTGGACAGATTTTTTTTAGAATTTAAAAAGTGTCAAATTTGTATGCCTGAAAATGGACAAATTTGTTAAATTTCAAATGTTTTACATGTTGTATTCTCTTAATTCATCTATATTCAGACAATCCATTGTTCAAATAAGTTTTTAGTATCAATAATGTTTAAAAATAATTTTTGATATTGAATGTATGTTGCATAATAAATTTTTTATGTGTAATATATATCTTGTATTATGATTTTTTGAGTGACTGGAAAGGGGAGGTAACTCAGTGCCCCCTGGTTCCGTAATTTACCCACAATGCCATGTTCATATTTCGACTAAGTGTTCATTACACATCCCTTTACGCCATGTGAAAATTTCAACAAAATCTATTGACAGGTTTTTTTGGGGTCAGGTGTCCTTAGCTACCTTAAGCCAGTTTCAAAACTTTGTGATGTCATTACATTTTTAGGGCGCAATAAAGCTAAAACCATACCTTCTTCTTTCACATTATTACGTTACTTGGTCCGAGGTAACCGAAAGGGAACTTTGAATTAGAAATAAAGACAAAATACACATTTAAAGTGAACAAAAATATGTGCTAAAAAGAATCTCCCATGGTTTGTGGTTTGATATGATTTTATCCAACTCGTTGTGTTTTCTATCCCCTCGCCAAGGCTCTTTGAAAAAACACAACTCAGTGGATAAAAATCATATCAAACCACAAACCATGGGAGATCCTATATATATGTATATTAAAATTCAAGCTTTAGTCTTTTTCTTAAAAACCTTTATTTAAACTTCAAAATTATGCTCAATATTGTTTTAGTATTACCATTTCTTAAAACTTAGGTTAAAAAACCAACAACTTTGATAATATTCTCTTTATTATTTGCCCTTGGAAGGGAGCTTTGGTCCTTATTTTTTACAATGAAATATATGGAGATAGCGAAAATTGTTTAAGCTTTAAAGTCTATTTCAGCATTACAAAATTGGAGCAGAGCAAACATGGACCTCTAAATATTCTGAGGTGGGATCAGGTGCCATGGAGTGAGCACCCCCGACATGTGCTCCTTGTCTTCATCGGGAAAAATCCGTCGATAAGTCAGTTTGTAAATAATGGCCTATCAATAAGTATGAAAAATTTGAGTCATTATTTGACAGTTTCTACTTGCTGACAAGGTCTTTGTATTGACAATGGAACTTGCGAAATGGCGACTTTAAACGAGACTGCTTATATACTCTTGTTTCAGCAATTTCTTTGTTGTTAGAAATTGTGCATACATAGAGCATGCTCTTGTGTATCAAATCAACTGAGAGATATAAACTCCGTATGCAGATGATCAAGGTATATTGCTGCATAAGAAAGGGAAGTTGACGATGGAAAAGTTAAGTCATCATGTTTATCATAAAGCTGAGTAGTTAGATAACCAATGATGTCATTTTCAAGTTAAAAATCTAAATATGAAATAGATGTGTCCTACCCTATAAAGCCTGAAACACATTATTTTTAGCTTCATGTTGAAACTTTTTAAATTCAATAATTATATTAAGAGTTATATCCTTCCTGACTTAGGATCGGATGTCCTATTATAGCTGAGATTATAGTCAAGATTTTTTAATTTCTTTTATTTAATTTTCTTTTAATTTTTTTTTAATTTCTGATATAATTTGACGATAGAAATGTTGAAATCATCACGTTTATCATAGTTTTGTGTTGTTAAGTAACTATTTATTTAGAGTAGTCAAGTACATGTATGTTCATTACCTTCCCTCCTACCCTTGGTTGCGGAGCAGATTTTGCTGCTGTCGGTTGATAAGAAGGTACTGGTGATGGTATCAGAAGTTTGTATGCAGTGAGAATGACAGCCATTACCACTAGGAGCAAGAATCCCACAATGTACAGATCTTACAAAAAATAAACATATACTATTATATATATCTTATATTTGAAAAGTACATGTAAAAGTGAATTCTGATAAAAGGGCATGCTGATTGAAATTGGGATTAAAGAAAAGATAATAAAGAGACTTGTAGTAAAAATATTCTTTCCAGCAGTTAGTGTCATGTGCACCTGCACCTTCACGGATGTTTAGGGCAAAGTAAATTTAAGGTTATAATGAGAAGGAAGCTAAATGGAAGATCTATGTCAAGGAAATAAAATTACGTTTTGAATTTAAAAGTATTGTTGCAATCAGTATGCTAAGTTTTAAGTTCCGAAATTTTATTACTTCAAAGACAAAAAAATATGTCGAACTCTTTATCACAAGGTCAGTTATCATTGTAACTTATGTATATCAACATGCCAAATTCCATATTGTTTTAAAATTTGAATGTTGATTTTTAAACTTATAACAGGTCAAAAATCATAAAAATCTTAAGCTTTGGAAAATAAATGTATCGTTCGTCCGTCTATCTTCTGGATGTTCGTTCAAAAGATAATTCTCGTCGGGATATTGTCTGCTTTCAATATAACTTGATGTATAAAAATATTAGAAAAACGTTATAGATCTTAAAAAAAGACTGAAAGCAAACATGCAAAGATCAATGGACATTGACTTTCTCAGAAATGTTTTGAATGTGACACAGATGCTAATGTATACCCGGGTATATCCACGCCCTAACTATCCAAGATGAAAGACAAAGTACTAGTATCACATCTATAGCCTGATACTGTTCAAACTATACACGTATACAGGCGCGGATTCAGAAAATTTTCCGGGGGGAGGGGGTCTACCCCAGTCCAAAAAAAACTCCAACCCAGAAATTTAATGAAAAGCAAAAAAAAAAAACAAAAACAAAAAAAAAAAAAAAAAAAAAAAAAAAAAAAAAACAAGCCGTAATTCCAAAAACCTATTTCGTGGGGGAGGGGGGTGTTTTCGATGACTTCTGATGCTTCAAAGCTTTTTCAAGCCACTTTTCATACTGATTTAACACAAATTTGCGTTTATCAGGGGGGTCTGCGTTTCCCGAGGGGAGTATGCTTTAGTTGCTTTAGTATATGAATTTAATAACCTTGCAAATTACAGGGGGGTCCTGACCCCCCCCCCCCCACCCCTCCCCTCTAGATCCGCGAATGCGCACAGGACAAGAGACAGAAACCGATGAACAGACAAAAGGTAAAGTGATCCCTAATTATCGCAGAGTTTAGCCGAGGATACAGTAAGGAAACTCACTGATATCATTTAGTTCAAGAGAGAAGTAGTCTAACTGCCCGTGAACCCCAGCCAGTTTGGATTCAATTTTCTCCTTTTCGTCATTAACTTTTTCTATAATTCTTTTCGTTTCTTTTTCAACCATTGTCACTCTTTCCTCGGTGCTATTAATTTTTTCCCTGACTTCTTTTTCGTTTTCTGTGGTATGATTGTGTAATTCTTTTATTCTATCGTCCACTTCTTTGACGTAAACCATTGTAGATTCAACTTTCCTCTTTTCGGTATTAACTTTTCTGTAAATTGTCTTTACTCCTTCTTTAAATTCCTTCATCATTATTTTCGATTCTTTCAATTTTTGATCGATGTAACTAAATTTGTCTTTGGTGTGCTCATCTTTTTCTTTATTATGAATGTTTAAATGGTTTATGTTTTCCTCGATGTTTTTAATATTAGTCAAAGTGGATTCAATTTTCTTTTTTTCGGCATCAACTTCTTCCTTAACCTTCTTCGCTTCGTCATCAATTTCATTGACCCTTTTTTGTAATTCATATATACTCTGATTGACTTGAGTAAATTGTCTATCAATAGTCTCTTCTTTTCTCATCAAAGTTCTGCTGTATTCATTTAAATTCCCGTCAAGCTTTGTGATGCTTGCATTTATTCTTTGAATATCAACAGATATTTTATTCTTGTGTTCATCAAATTCCTTTTTCTGGTCATCGAATTTCTTGTCAAGTTCAACATATGGTTCTCTTGATTTCATCGATAAATTATTTTGAAGTATTTCTACAATCATAATTAAACGTATTTTTAAAAAAAATTGACGAATGTTATCATAATTGAACAATTACAAGCTCCTATAAAATTTCTTTAAAGAAATATACAATTGCAGATGTGTGTATGCATTTTGCTTTTTTTAAAATGTGAGGAAAAATATGTATATATATACCTTCAAGTAATCTTCTTTCGTTATTTATTTCACTATTATTCTTCTTAACCTCTTCATGAAAACGGCTTATATTTTGCTTCACTTCTAGCATCTTTTCTGTGAAGTTTGCCTCTAGCTGCTTTAGATGTTGCTTTTCTTCTTCTGTTTTGTTGGCGTAGTTCTTTTGCAAAACGTTAATACTTTGTAAAATTCTATGCTTGTGTTCTTCCAAATCAGTTATGTTTTTAATCATACAATCCAACGTTTTGTTACAGTTTGACAATTCATTCACCCATGCCTCCGTTTCCTGTTGCCTGTCTTTGACATAACTGTGGAATTCGTTGTGTAAAAATTTTAAATCCTTAACATCATTTATGATTCTTTCTGATACTGACGAGGAGCCCTCGGGGTCTGTTAGTAGTGGAACTTTGTGATAAGATTGCAGACACACTCGTCCGGTAGTATTTCGATGCAATAAATAAGTTATCCCGCATATCTGAAAACTGTACAAATGAAATTTAAGAATGTATTATGCATATAATTAAATTACAAACATATCATGTTGTATCATCTTATACCCATTCGTTAAACTGAATAATCATTTCCATGCAAAGATTTTACAAAAGAAGATGAAATAATTTGCTTAAATATATCTCAAGCCAGAGGTTTTGAATAATAAAGGACATATTCATATCAATGGATTTGGTTTACTGTTTCAGATGTTCAGCATATGAAATTAATTATCGTGTACCCTACATTGTAAATTATGAATTATAAATGAGGCATAAAACTGAAAATTAAGAAAAAAAAACATTGTTAAATAAACAAAAGTTTAGTAGAATTTGTACAACACTGCTTATGAAGGTATTTTTTAACAGGAAAACATATACTTACCTATGTAATACTCCTGCAATAAAAATCACTATCCGTAACCTTTTGTCTTTCCATATTTCCATAGAGGTTGTTTTTACTTCTTCCTCTTTTTTACTTCTATCGTCTTTAACCGCGGACAGTTCCTGGAAGTCGTTCCCGTCTGCTGAATTTTCATCGTAACACAAATCATCATTAGAGGTTTTAGCGTTTGTTTTCTTGTCATCCTTTTCACTGCGTACTTTTCCTTTCTTGCTCTTTTCACCCATTCTTAAATAAGTATTACTTTCTCATAAGTTCCATATCTTTTTAAAGAAAAAAAGGATACATGAACTTAAATTAGTCGTGAATTTGATTGTTAGATTTCATACCATTATTTTTTTTCCTTAAATTCCTATCGTATGAAACATTAACTATAATGAAAGGTAAACTTTTAAAAATGATTCGTATTTTACTGATCTATGTCGCTGATTACAACTTTTAAAAACGTAAGGCTTGTGTATAAACAGCGAAACAACTTCAAGTTGCCTGAGTCCTTTAAAAGCAAGATAACATTATCATCACAGTATTATCGGTACAGATGTACATGTAGTTCAATATTGGAAGCATATCACTAACAGTTCGTCTATCTGCAACGAACGTTCCAAATAGAGAATAAATCAAAATCATTTTAGCAAATCGATTAAAAACGTATTTAACATGTCCATGTTTGTCAGCTGTTTGTAACTGATAGTGTCACATATCTTTTGAGGAAGAATATTTTCGAATTTCGTATGTTGTTACATCCTTGCATTGGTTACTGGCGAAATTAATGCCAGTTTGTTCACATTTGATCCGTATTTTCTGAGAATTTTTACATGAATATATATACATCGACCAACTCAGAAGTAAAAAGCCTAAATTAGTGAATACAAATATACTAGTAACAATTAATACTCTATGAAGCTTAATATGTAAATTAATTTAGTTCAATATTTTAAGCACTCAAAGTCTTAAGTTTATACTTCCTACGACAGCGATTTTAGAAAGAAGAGCTATGTATATATATGAAAATCCTGCTACCTGATTTGGTCAGCGTGGTAAAATTCGCAAAATCTAGTCAACTTTCAGTTTAGTCCTTTCAACTAAGAGAGATAACTAAAGATAACTAAACAAAAAGAAAAATAAGCTAGAGTTATATTCCCCGAGAATATATAAAAAGTTCTTCTTAATTAAAATATGAAATGCTCAACATGTTGGTATATCAAACAAGAATGTATATTTTTTTCAAGTTTATAATTCATAATAAATTGCATTTGCTGATAACGTCATTGTTTCGACCTACATACGATTTAAAAAGTCTCGAAGTCGAAAGTCTCCCTATGGAGAAATTTCTTCAAAATCATGTGTTATATATATTTATTATTATAAACAACACTGGCGTCGGAAGCAAATTAAAAGGAGAAACTTAATTAAGGAGTACTGTGTATCAATATATTTGAGAATTGGTGAATATCAGCTGTGGATAATCAAAACTTTAGAGAACCTCTTGAAAAATTTGAATTCACAATTTCTTTTTAATCAATAAAACCAAAACGTAAAATTTTCAATTTCTATATAGAGAACGTTATTCAAGATCAAAAGTCAATAAACCAATACAAAATAGAAGCAGAGAGAACACGGACCTCCAAAACATCAGAGGTGAGATCAGTTGCCGTGGAGGAGTGAGCATCCCTTGCCGACCAGTCAAACCCGCCATGTGCTTGTCATAATCGGGCAAATTCGTCGTCAATTCAGTGCAAAAAATGGACTAACAATTGATATGAAAAACGTCAGTAAGCATTTGTCTCAATGATGAACTGTGTAAATTGTATTTGCTGACAAGATTATTGTATTGACCAAAGAACTTACGCTATCGACAAACAAGTTGACGAAACAAGGATATTAACAGCATTTTGAAGTCATCATTTTGTATATATAAAGTGGACTTGTATTCAAATATATTAACCTATTATTAGGTCAAAGGCTGGCTAAAGTTTTCCATAGTGAAACTTAGGCCATTATTACCATTTTGAAGTCATCATTTTGTATATTTAAAGTGACTTGTATTCAAATATATTAACCTGTTATTAAGTCAAAGGCTGGCTAAAGTTTTCCATAGTGAACCTAAGCCCATTATTAGCATTTTGAAGTCATCATTTTGTATATTTAAAGTGAACTTGTATTCAAATATATTAACCTATTATTAGGTCAAAGGCTGGCTAAAGTTTTCCATAGTGAAATTTACTTACACAAATTGATTTGTCCACGAATTTTACAATGTTCTCCTAATCATGAGAAAAAGCACATCGAATGTTAATCGAATAAGTTAGGAGACATTAATACCTTAATGCAGGCTGCGTTAAAATATTGGTACATAAATACAGGGTATTGAATATGGCAAGGCTACACTTATCCAATTTGACGTCCAGAGTAAATGATGGTCACACTCAGTTCGCTCTTTGTCATGATCAGAAAAATGAACAAATCAGTAGCTAATTCAACAATTAGTATGAAAAACGTCAGCCACACTTGACTTAGTGATAGGTGTTATTTGCTGTCAAGGCCCTTATATCGACAATTGAATTTGCAAATGTTAATTTTAAAAGAGACATTTGAAATCGTTGTTTCAGAAAAAAATTGTCAGTAGCTTGTCTCGTGCTTATAATATTAAAAACCATACATGTACTGCCGCAGAGCATGCTCCTGTGTATGAAATCATCTGCGAGACATTAATTCTAAATGCAGGTTATAATGATTAACTAAATAAATAAAAGAAGTTGATGATAGAAGTTGTTCAGGCATCACTTTTATCATGGCTGACAGGTTACCATTAATGTCTTTTTTCTTGTAGTATATCCAAATTTGAAACGGTTATGTCACTCTGGACTCTTTAGTATCTTTTATTTAGTTTTCATGAGGACATATGGATCAATGTAAGAATGAACATGAATATTGATTATAACTAGTACATAGTCATTATATCTAAATATTGAATTAAAGGTCACAGAAACAGCCTTCCTCTATTCACACAGGAGTTTTTGAAGAAAGTGTGCTTCACATGAATACAAAATTGGTCATCTAATAACAGGGTGCATATGTTACCCATGGAAATTCTGAAAGATTCTTGGAAGACTTAATCTCCAAAAATCTACAAAATAATTACTCTTCAATCAGAAACTCAAGAATCTTTTCAATATCAACTTGAGAGTACTTGTGTGTATGAACATTTTAATGTTCAAGCCTGGGCAAGATTTGAGAGATTGTAAAATGGGTACTGGGACAGATATATTAGTTTTGGTCAAATCTCCTAAATAAACTAGAACTGTCCAAACGGTTTCAGTACCCCCCCCCCCCCCCGCTGGGTTTTTGAGAAGAAAGTTTTTCCATAATAAAAATATGTATCAAACACGAATTATGAAATTTTTCTTCCTGTGACCTTGATCTTCCCCAAATGACCTTGGGTCAAGGTCATGAAACACCCTTGGGTCATGGGCAATCTTTGGGTGAAATGAGAACCTACCAAGTTTATCCATAAAAGATATGTATCAAACATGAATTATGAAATTTTTCTTCCAGTGACCTTGAACTTCCCCAAATGACCTTGGGTCAAGGTCATGACACACCCTTGGGTCATGGGCAATCTTTGTGTGAAATGAGAACATACCAAGTTTATCCATCTCAGAGATAAATAAAAAAAAAATGAAATTTTTCTTCCAGTGACCTTCAAATATATGACCTTGGGTCAATCAAACACACCCTTAGGTCATGAGCAATCTTAGTGTGGAGTAGTAGATTTGAATGTCCCTCTGTAAGGAAATAAAAATTTGATCACGATTGCACAGACAAACGGACAAGGTGACATGCTTTGGGAGCCAAATTTTGTTGGAATGGACAGGGTGTCCAATTGCACAGAGTTAAAATCATATATAAACTGAATAAACTATATTCCTGATGACTCAACCTTAGAACATTGGAATTCACAGTGGACTGGAAAGGTGTCGGCTTAGACAGTTTTACTTGTCTTCTTTCCTGTAAATTCTGACTTTCCACACATATTGTTTATAGTTAAAATGATTTGGAACCTAATGAATTATAATAAAGAACAGAATAATTACCATAATCAGAAACATTTGCAGCAAATTCAATTAAAACAACAAGGAAAGAATATATTAAATAGATCTCATTGCTCAAAATTTAATATATTGTCAATGAGTACATGATTTTAAACACAAAGCATTTTCTTTCTATTTCTCTAAGTAAATTACCAAAATACATGTAAGAATACCACATCATTTGAAATGTCACAAATATAAAGCAATGGCATAGAAAAGCAGAACATCCTCTTCCAAAGAGAATATCTTTAAATCAAGACAGCATTTAACATTCATCCCGATGCAAATTACATAACTTCCACTTTGTACATCAATAACTCACTCACAAATGAACACACATTATTGCCTTACTAAATCCCCTCCAACTTGGTTGTGAGTGGATAACAAACATATCACAGCAGTCACACGGAATAAGGAATCACAACCTTTTGAGAGAGTCCTCCAGGAACTTGACCTGGTGTGGGAGGAAGCTGTTATAGACGGACAACACTCGGTTTCTCTCCTTGAGTTGGGAGAGTAGAGAGTGATGTCCAATAGAGTGAAGCTGGGGGTTGTACAGCTGGCCTGGTCCTAAAGTCTCCGAGCCTCTATCCCTCACATACACAACAAAAACATCAGCTGTAGAAATACAGTTATATAATTATAATGAATTCCTTAGATTCCTTGAGGTCTATAAACCAGAAGCCTCTGAGAAGACTGTAGCTCACCTGATTTGTACTTAAAATAGAACGAAAGAAAAGCAGCACTTGAACCTTGAATTACGTAATAGCAATAAATAGGAAAATGATCCCCTGTTTAGTTTATTTTTGTAGTAAGATTTACTGCAATGGATCTAAAAATGTAGGAGTAGTAGTATTCTTAAAGCATTTTAGAAAAATGTCTTTTTATTAAGTACAGTAACCATGACAAACTCCTCATAAAAGTAAAAATGCCATAAATTTCATTATGTTTCTTAATGTAGTATGTATTTGCATGCTAGGTTAAATAAATTTAGAATATTTACATTTGCATATGTTTGCCCTTACAGTTTGTAAGTAACACTATTTGAACAAGGCATTTTTATGCCTGTGTAAAACACATTCATCATGAGATCATAAATTGATTGTTTAGTCATGAGTGATCTATGTAATTTCATAGTGACGTCATAAGTCTTCAACACATTCAATTTATATTGCATTGAGTTTTGAAAAAAATAAATCCTTTATCGATTTAAAACTTACTAGTAGTACCTAACTATTTGTAATAAATGTAAATATAAGAAATAAGATATCTCTTTTTTTGCACTGTTTATTGGTTTTAAAATTTGGAACATGATAAAATCTTTAATTAAATCCTTCAGTAAAATATTGATCATAATTTTAATCAATAAAAATATTTAAAAAATGGTACCTTTTTCTTTATCAAGATGCTTCAATGTGTCTTTTAAAATATTTCAGAGTATGAATAGGGTTAATAATTCAAAAAGCAAGATTCTTCTGTCACACCGCATCTGGAGACGGAAATTAAGTACTTTTTAAGACAACTTAAACAACAACAAAATTAATTTGCAAAAAATCCTATCATTAAATATTTGAAAATATACATTGAAATTCAAGTTCGTCATGTTCTTGATTTACTGCAAAAATATCGATTAGTGAAGCTGAGCTTAATATTGCACAGGACATAGTTAAACAAGACATGAGCATGAGAAAAACGTGTCATGTTTACATTTCTCGAGTACAGGAAAACCCAACTATGATGTCACATATTTGCAAAATCAGCAAAATAAGACATACCTACAAAATAATTCCGTCAACAACAATGTAAAAATATTTTTTGATTTCTTAAATTTAAAAAATACCCCACCATGTACTGATCATGACCCATTTTTATGATATTGTACTACCCGTGTTTCACTGTGTATAATCTTACTGTACTAAGAGATCCACTATGACGTCAACGACTCGTTGGACGCGCAGTGTAGGGAAACAGAAAAGTGGATCAATTTTTTCCGTAATTTGATAATATTTGCAAGAAAGTAAGAATGCTATAAATATTCTTTTACAAGATGGTGAACGCTAACAAACAGTCAAAAAATTATACAAGAACTGTGATTTCGATCTGGTTTTGTACATGATTTATCAGAGATTATTAATGACATAATTAAACTGAGTCATGTGACCATACATCCTTCGTCCCCTTAATAAAGCTTTAGGAGGAGTAGCATTTTGAAAGAATTTCACAGAAATTTCCATTTTTAGTAACCAAAGCAACAGCATTCACTGAAATAAAAAAAAAAGAAAACAACTGGCCCTTGATCAGTAGAGGCCATAAGAGTTGTACAGAAACTTACATCCCATGTTGAGGAGTCCTTGAGTGGTCAGTCTGCGGAGGTCACCTATTTCTGTCTCCGGGTCCTCCAGAATGATGTTCCTCTCGTTAAAGTCAACAAATACAAACACAACCTTAGAGGGCTTAATTCTTAGGATATCATTCAAACATTGGATAGGGCCAGGCTAATAAAAAAAGATTCAAGAATAACAAAAATCAAGTCTGATTCTCAGTAATAATCTGAAACAAGTCATGGTATACTGTACTGTCTAAATATTTCTTTAATCAAGTTCAGTAAACTATGAAGTAAAATTGTACTATGTTATAAATTATATCCTTCATCTTTTCACCTGCTTCAATATTGTACTAGCTATATCAATATCAATGGAATTTAAAACCTTACATGTACATCCATAGACCTAGGCTTAGGAACTTTATTAATCAGATTTTGATGAAACTGCTGTGTAGAAGTGTTAAAACTAATAATTCCAATGCTTCTTTCTAGTGGTCTCTTGGTGATTCTATCAATATCAACTGGAGTACCCTGAAGAAAAATACATTTAAATGTATCAGCAACCTCCATAAACATCTCAACAGCATTGTATGGAATAACCAGTATTGCCCCTTCAAATGGACAAAGATCTTTTTTTCCATAATAAGTAACAGTCTGACACAGGCTATTGCTAGAGGTATCTTTTGAACCTTTGTGGTAAATGCAATTGACATTTCATATTTTTTTTTACTAAAATAGCCCAATACCTAATAATAGTAGGTATGGGGGTTGTTATTTTTTATCCATAACTAGATTTGTATCAAGTTCAAGGTCATTTCTCAAAAGTCAATGAATGTTGACACTGCATTGGACTTCACCCCGTAAGGCCATATTCCGGAGACTGATCGAGGGTGATATCTCTAATGTCATGGATACTGAGTACATGTATGTCAAAGTGATATGGAAGTCCCAATCACTTCTTAAAGTATTTCATCCCCCATATCAGAAGTCCTTGGATGTCTTTTTTCTCTTGATTCCATCGAGTTCAAGGTAACAAGGATTAGCTGTATAGAACTCACCTGTCCTCCCACCCTGGACCTCGGTGGTGGATCACGGACTTGTGTCACCTGTCTTATCTGGTCCCCACCTGACAGTATAGAACTCACCTGTCCTCCCACCCTGGACCTCAGTGGTGGATCATGGACTTGTGTCACCTGCTTTATCTTCTCCCCACCTGGAGGTAATCTTGGAAGCAGGATTTTATAGGCAACAAAAATGACACCCATCACCAGAACTAACAGAAATCCTACGATGTAGATATCTAAAAACAAAATGTTATGTCATATCCTTTATATGCTATAATACATTATCAAATCTATGTACAAAAATTTCACATGCAAGAAGTTTCTGTGGGTTTTACAACCTACTTTAATTTGTGAATATTAATCAGCGAGAACAATATATTTTGCGTTGCATGCGTAGAAAATGTTACCAGTAACGAAAATTAAATGTTGCCAACTGATTGCAAACTGACATTTACATTATATGAAATCATTAATGCCACTCCACTGATTAAGAAACTTAACAAAATTAACACACATATGCATAAAAAACAAGATTTTCCTGATCCTTACTGATATCTTTAATTTCACTGAAGAAATATTTTAGTTGACCTTCCACTCCTCTATATTTGGATTCTACTTCAGTAAAGTTTTGGTATGCTGAAGTTTTTAATTCAGTCACATTTCCCTCTAATTCTTTAAGCTTTGTTGTCCTCTCAGACTTTTCGTCCTCAATAAGACTGGCCATTTTTACTTCTGACTTATTAACTTGTTCTTTGAAAATTTCTAAAAATGTCAAAAATTATTGTGAGAAATTTGAAATTATACATGATATTGGTATACACTGGTAAAATGCAGTTGTGTGTGCAAAAACAGGCTCTCCTTATTGACAAAACATGCTTCAACACAGTCAATCTTAAAGTAATTAACACAGTTATTATGAACAAGAGGCCCATGAGCCATACGTACAAAGTTAGTTTACCAATTCTTAACCAGACCCCCCCCCCTTGTTATATACAACATTAACATACAGACCATGATTCAGCTTTGCCTCCCTTATGGTGCCCTGTAGGAGCAATTTTCAGGGTTTTTTATTTTGTTGTGGGTGGAAGGGTGGGTGGATGTCAAACATTTTCAGCTTGGGGTGGGGGGGCAGTTAATTTCCTACCTAAAATTCCTTGACAACCAAATTGAAAAACAGATGTTATTGAGGAAGCACAATAAGTGTAAGGTACTTGAAGCTATTTTTTCTGCAGTGTTCTAAATATAAAATACATATCAATCCAAATTAATGGAGGGGCAGCCCTCAATAGTTCCTACAGCAAAGTGGTTGTCCTATAGAGAAGAGGATTTTTAAAGATTTTTTCCTATATATGTCAATATAAAAATAAAACAATATATTAAAAACTTCCCTATTGTAGCCCCACTCTACCCCAACAGGACATATGATTTGAGGAATTTGGCATCTAGTTTAGAAGATCTGAGGAGAGATGTTGAAGAATAGATCAAGCACATTTGAACAAAGGTTGGAGACATATGGATACAAAAATAAACTAGGGGTACTATGAGCAATAAGCTCACTAAATGATACCCCCCCCCCCCACCGCCTCCCATATGAATATAATGGCAGTGATGTCCATGTTTTGCTATGGGATACCAAAAATATGTGTTGGATCAAAAAGTACTAACTCAAGCTTTGTTACATGTATCTGTGGTTTGGAAGATCTCTTGGCCTCTCCATATTGTTTTATGTAACGTGTAAAGAGGAATAACTCATGGTGTCCCATGTTTTTCAGATGCCACCACACTTCATGTCATAGGTAAGAATACAATGGTAGTGTCCATTTTCTGTTATGGGAAACAAAAAATATGTGTTGGATCAAAAAGTAAAATAGAAGGTGCAAAATGGTATGATGTAATACTAGTAATTAAAGATTCTCTGAAAGTCACATCAAATTTCAGTCAGTGGTATAGGTGGAGTTGCGAATAAGAGATGGGTACCCCAAAGCATCAATAACAGACAGAGGGGGATCCAGATTACCATATACCTTCCCTTTTACAATCATGCCAACAGTTTGACTGCTTGATGTCCTGAAGTAAAGAAAAAGATTTTTAAAGATTGCATTAATTTTAGTGGTTTTGGCCCCATCCCTCAGGCACCAGGGGGCAGGGACCATGAAATTCACAAATTTTGTTCCACTTTGCCCATAAATGCTTTGTGCCAAAATTGGTTGAAATTGGTTGAGTGGTTGCAGAGAATACTGTAGATGTACTATTTTCCATGTGGTCATAATTCCGCGTTATCTCAATTTCTACTGAATCCGTGGGTAGAAAATTACGCCGCTTTCTTAGACTCTCTCTATATTTCTTACAAGCATATTTTGAGTATTATGGGACAAATTTCTGTAAACAATTACTGACCATGTACAGAGCATTAATTAATACCATGCAGAAAAAAGTACTTCTACAGTAATTAGCTGAAAATGTTCAAATGTTAACACAGGAAAGACGACGCACGCTGACGGACGAAAATGAATAGCAATAGGGATCACTCTTAGGTGTACTGAAACAAAAAGTGGCAATAAAAGAAAATGCTGTTTGACTATACAGTTGTATCATGTGAAAATAAAAATTCTTGTTTATTTAGATCATTGTACAGTTTTATCTTCTTTAAAGAACATTCCACCTGACATATTTACGATTTACTATCCATAAAAAATAGGGATGTGAATTTTACTCAGACAGCTTAGTCGAATAGTTGGATGCTTTAGTCGAACAATAGTCGAATATTTGATTAATTTTAATTATTTTTTCGTACCAGTTTCACGGTTTGTTTTTTACAGACTGGTTTACAATATTTAACCAGTACGCTATCACCATTACACAACGACTTTCTGAATTGTAAACATGTATGTAGTGCAATAAAAACTGTACAACAATATGTATCCAATGTATTTAATTTCAAAATTAATGTTAGCTGCACGTTTTATCTAATGCAGGATATCAAACGCCCGTATTTGTCCTGGCTTTCTTTACATAACGGTAGTACATGTACCCCATTTTTGAAGCCAATTATTATGTGTCCGTCAAAGATCTTTCACAGGTAAACAATTAAAGCGTGTCTCTTATAAAAACAAAGAGAGAGCGAGAGCTTGGGATAAGTTTAAATTATGAAATTTTGTGCAAACAATCAATGATTGTATGAAATTAATATCAGAAAAAGAAAACACGGTTTAATTACTCTCATATTAACTGACCCGGATTTACATGTATTTACAATTTTGTAATAGCTGTTTTTTAGTAATTAATATTCTTTCTGAATAGTTGTATCACGTCAGATCTAAGTTGAATCTACAAAAACTAAACAATTGTCCTCTCCATTTCAAACAGTCAGAGATAGACAATTATTAATAAACATGTTTGATTTTCTTTCCCATTCTGCTTTTTTTGTCATTTTTGCGGAGAACTTACTATAGGAAAGTACTTGAAGACTGTGTATATGTTTGACTGATCAGCATTTGATACATCATGTTTGATGTTACACTGCAGAATACAAGTTCTGTTTCACATAACCTTGATAACACTGTTTACCTTTTTTAAGCTATACCAAAACTGTAGATTTTGAAGACATGTTTGCCGAACATAACATCGACGTACAAATAATTTCCTTTGAACAGTTATACCATATCCTTAATTTTACATATGAAAATATTGATCTGTAAATAAATGAAATGGGCAAATATAAGTTTATTGCCTTGAATTCAAAATTACTTTGATGAAACACATTTTTAATGAATAATCGACTTTTTAGTTAGTCAAGATCGAACGATAGTCGAGTACTCGAATATTCGTTGACATCCCTAATAAAAAAATATTACCTTGAATGTCCAGTAATTTGTTATCAACGTGGTCACTCTTTTTTTGGACTTCATCTTTTATTTTCTTGCCCATATTACTTTCAATACTCTCAAATTTATCTTGAAACCTAGACTCAATGAATTTTTCCAGGGAAGATGTTATATCTGATTGAAGATTTTCTGATACAACTTTTGAATCTTTCAATTTCTCTACAGTATACTTCATGTCATCTGGACTAGGGAACTCTGAAACCATGTTCTCTATTCCTGCAAGTCTTTTTTCCATATCTTCAAGTTCTTTTGTTTTCTGGTCCAACTCATTCGACAATGTATTCTGATTCTTTATAATATTTTTAAATTCTGATGATGAAAATCCATCGGTGGCTATACACATACAGTCTGAACATTGTAATTTTGATTTGTCTGTCTCAGGTGAACTTCTGCTACAGGCTTTTAAATCCTTGATACTTCCTTGAAGCCTACTATGAACAGCATATGTCATCGACCTGTACAATATATGCATGTATTTATCAGAAACCATTTTTGGACAAGCAAGCATTTTATCTACATTTGAACACCCAGGCCATGGAAATGCTGAAGGGATTGGAGGTCCAAACACTAATTCTTTATTATTTTACTGTAACAGTTGATATCTCAAAATCTGTGATATCTCAAAGTTTATTTTATTTTATTATGATTGTGTAAAAACAAATTTAAAAATGATCATTGTTTCACTTAAAAGATAAGAAAATATTTAAATATTATTGTGTAAGAAATAAATAAATTTAAATAAATAAGTTTTATGAGTGCTTACGCTTGGACTAATCCCAAAATAATGATCTGTGCAAGCCATTTTTTGTCCGTCAAGAACTCCATGAATGTTCCATCCTGTGCCTCAGATTTTTTCTTTAGCTCTCTCTGCTTAGTAGACCTCCCTGATCTGCTAGATATGGGGCCCCTCATGACCATGCTGACAGCAGGGCTATCCTTCTCCCATGGTGAGGAGGAGCTGGAGGCCCCCTGACCCTGAGGTATCCCTGGGGAGTCTTCATCCGACATTTCTCCCTGATATTGCTGGAGATTTTCATCCCTTCGTTGAGGAGTTTTAGAAGATTTCGATTTTGATGATGCCATTCTATGAAGGAAAAAAAAAATTATATTCTAGCTGTTTTTCCCTACTATTTTTGTGGTTTCTATAAATAAAAACTCTGCAAAAAAAAATCCTAATAAATTTCCCAGACTTCAATATTACATTACAAGTAGCAAAGTTCTGTCATTCACCATTAAAATAGAATCTCAAAATAAACTCTGTCTTTAGAAGAACCTAAAACTTTGATTATTAAATAAAAAGGACACAACACCCAGATTTTTTTTCCATGGCAGGATTTCACTGTAAGTCCTAGAGTGGTCAATGGTAAAATAGGCTAGTTTGTGGTCCCTTGTATTCTCTTGGCTGAGAAGGCACTTTTTTTCATCCAATAGTGATCACTAGTTTTGTACAATAATTAGCAGCGCCTGTAGTGCCGACTGCCACACAGGCAAATTAATAAAATTAGCGACATAAAGTTACTTGAGAATACAATACTAGTATTCTCTACTTATGCAAAGTTTTGATTGAAATTTGCAATATTAGAATACCTTTCATTAATCCGAAATATCTGATGTTTCCCAGGCTTTTTTATGATTTTGATATTTAAATTCCAGGAACCAGTACCTTTTAAGAAAACTGGAAATTTCGCTGGCTCTATCCAGAGCTAATTTTTCAATATTTGTGAACTGAAATAAATGCAAAACTTATTGTACTATTGATAAGTTGTGGGTCCCCATGATCACTAGCTGCAGATCTGTAGCGTTATGGTTTTATATATTTGTCTTTGACCATAATGCTACAGATCCCGCAATGCAAAAGAGGTGCAATTTATGGCACAATACTTTTTTGCGCACTTTTGGGGAGAATTTCTCCACTTTCCAGCATTGGTCAATTAACTACCTTTCACTCCCTAATTCTAGGCACATTATTTTACTAATCTGTATATTTTATCAATTTCCCAACCCTATATAGTCGTCTCTACATGTGATAAACTCGCTTTTGATTGAAATTATTTGTTAGATTGCTGAAAATTTACTTCAAGCGAGTTTATTGCCTGTAGAGACAACTATAAATGGTTGGGAGGTGGATAAAATATACATATTGGCTACAGAATGTGTCTAGAGTTAGGGAGTGAAAGTGAAGGAGTGAGGTGGAGAATGACTATTTTTTGTATTGGCGCCAGTTCTTACATTTTCTTGGCTTGTAAAATATCAAAACTTTGGGAAAAAAGTCTGGAAAACGTAAGACATTTCAGACAAACCTTTCACAAATATGTTTGGGCAATTTTTTATAAGGGAAGGTACTGTATACAGGGTTATTTTCGGCCCGTGTTATTTTCGCCCTTTTGTGCTTGCGGACAATTTAGCCCAGTTTTAAATTCGCCCAGTCATAGTTCTGTTTAAGAAATTATGCTGTGTAATTTGAGTTCGCCCCATTTTAAATTCGCCCCATCAAGAAGAGGGCGAAAATAAAACATGGGCGAAATTTTCCCTGTATACAGTAGTAGAAAGGTATAAAGTAATTTAATATAGGGCCAACATAAAAATTCCGCCAACAGTCTGGTAGCATATGAAAAAGTCTTAAAAGAAACGTCTTCAATGTTCTTTTAAAAATCTAGGTATTATATTCGACAATTAATCATAACGAATGTCAGACAGTCCTCAGCCCAACAACACCTTGGCGCTGATTGACATCTCAACCCAAAGACACCTCGGCTCCAGCAGGTCGGCCCTAATATAAGGCACCTCAGCCCAAGCATTTCATTGTAAAATATATACTGTATACAGGGAAATTTTCATCCCCGTTTTATTTTCGCCCCTTTTGCCCTCTTCTTGAGTGGGCGAATTTAAAACGGGTGAATTCAAATTGCACAGCATAATTTCTTAAACAGAACTATGACTGGGCGAATTTAAAAGGGGGCAAAATTGTTCGCAAGTGCAAAAGGGCGAAAATAAAACGGAGCGAAAATAACCCTGTATACAGTAATCAATTTTTGATTTCAGAATTTGCGACTTTTAAAATATAATATAAAATGAAAAAGTATAAACAAAAAGGATCATTTTTTAAAATTACGAAATAAACTTCCCCAGGCATATTAACTATAAAGAAATTAGAAGACATAATTAAAGCACTTATAATTGATAAACAACAAAATGACGCAGCGCATTGTTACAACGCACTTTGAAAAATTACGCACTTTGAAAAAATTTTTCAAAGTGCGTTAAGTTTTGGGACCAGGTTAACGCACTTTGAAAAAATTTTTCAAAGTGCGTTGAATTCAATAGCCACTTTGAAAAATTTTTTCAAAGTGCGTTAAAACTGTGCATCATAATTTTACACCATGTAAACATTTAACGCACTTTGAAAAAATTTTCATGAAACAAAAGGAATTAGACTTATATTTTAGAAATAGACAACAGTATTATCCCCTCGCAACGTATGATGGGATATAGTAATGCGATTATGTGTGTTATTACTTTATGTGTATGTTAGTTTTTTCTGTGTGGAATTGACGTAATTTGTATCGGGATAGATGTCAAATGATTTACTGAACATGCTTTTTTGGGAAGGAATGCTCCGCTTTGCGGTGCCCTTACTTTGATGTGTTTTTTTTCTAAAAACTAATGGATTGAAGAAAACCAAGAAACGGAAAACGAAGAAAAGACTGGCTGAATTAAGGTCTATCAGCTCAACTCTTTATCATTCCCACCCAGATATATCTATTTCTATAACTCGTTACCTTAAGTGTCAATGATATTTGAAAAAAAAAAAGCATTCTAAATACAGTATAAGCACTGTACAAGGAAGTCTGTAGTAAATCGAAATTTTGTTCTTTTAAATCTCAAAGTCTATTTATGTTCATTTTCAGGAAAATCAGAATATTAATTACTAGCTGTAAATTCCTTATTTTTCGCGAGTGTTTTTTTTATCGCGAACTGGCTCTCAAACGTCAAATCGCTAGAATTATAATTCGCGAATGAACGGTTAATGAACAGATTTTGCATAGATTTAAGCATCAGAAAAATAAAAGCGAGTAATATTTTTTTCGCGAGTGATACTTCCCGCGAAATTACGCAGAAATTAAGTCCTCGCTAATATTAAGGAATCTACAGTACCTGTCTGCTTTTCGATGTTAATTTGATACCATATCTGATAATCTCTCTGTTAAACTCCAGGTATTTAAAAACACAAGTTTTGCCAAAATTATAGAGTTATTTCTCTATGGTATCCCAAATAAGTAAGGTTTTATGAAAATTCATATAAATATCTATATAATTTTTTTAGAATCATTCCAATATGTTAACTTTTGAGAATTGACTAAGAGATAGGCGGAAGAACAATACTATCGTTCGTAGTTCTTTACGACATTGAATGTTGACCTTTTGACCCCAGATTCAAAAGGGGTCTTCCTCAGGCCACAGGGATTCTGTTATGTTAAATTTCATTGCAAATGTTCAAAGGGTTGGCGAGATATCGTGTGGAAACGAAAGCGTTACAGAAAGACGGATGGTCGGACAGCTAGACGGACGGACTGACAGATAGACCCAAATTAATATCTCCCACTTTTCAAGCGGGGGACAAAAAGTATCAAATCAGGTTCAAATGATAAATTATCATACCTAAGATTTGTAGGAATATTGACTAAGCCATGCAGAATTTTTTTTTTTCAAAGTGCGTTAATATGGTCGATATTAACGCACTTTGAAAAAAAAATTATTTTTTCAAAGTGCGTTAACCTGGTCCCAAAATTTAACGCACTTTGAAAAATTTTTTCAAAGTGCGTAATTTTTTCAAAGTGCGTTGCCACAGCGCATTCTTTCAAGTTGAATATTGCCTCGAACATTTCTTATGAATACCTTCAATGGGTTCAACCATATTGTACATTTAGGAAATTCTAATTTTTTTTTTTTTTTTATTTAATTTTCACATCAACCTCCCAAATGTGAAACTTCACAGGCCGAGATGTCTACCATCATTACAACCCAACGCTTTCGGCATGGGCTACCGGTTCTCATCAATAACCAGGCACGTAGCATCGTTTTTGAAAGTGGGGGGGCCAACCTGAGAAAATTTTTTTTTACTTACCTGAAAAAATGTTGACAAGCAAAAAAAAAAAAAAAAAAAAAAAAAAAAAAAAAAAACGAAATATTAAAAGTTGCCCAAAGTCGAAAATCCTATTTCGTGGGGGGGGGGGGGGGGGGGGGGGGGGGGGGGGGGGAGGGGTAGTGGCTTACTTATTTCAAGACCAACTTTCTTCTTTGGGGTAAATTTTCTTTATAACTCTACACTGTGCTGAAATGTTGGGGGCCAACCTTTCTTTCAGTATACATTTTCTATATAGTAAAGGTAATGTCGGGAGAAAAAGTGGGGGGGCCAGGCCCCCCCTGGCATAATACTACGTGCCTGATAACCAGTCTAGACGAACTCCTAAAAACTGAAAAACGGCGTGATAACATACTATATATTATATATACATGTAGCGACTCTTACCGATAGGAACAGTTGTGCTGATCACAGGGCAGTCAAGCACATTTCAAAATTTATATGTTCTCACTCTTATTCAATTGCAAATAAAACAGTTAGGGCCTACATAGTTTCTCCCAACATACTTGCAACAGGTCTACTTTCGTTTTAGATTGTCACTCTCGCACCTCCCCGATCCCGACTTCAATTTAAAAATAAAAAAAAATATACACCATAATTCCCTCTATCATATGTCTCTGGTTTATGTAACTTTAAAAATGTAATAAATTTTTATCCTAAAAATACTACAAATTAAAAAAAAAGAGAAAAACAGAGACGCTTGTCTTTCAATTAACATGCATAAGCACGGCCATTTAAGGACGTTGGATCCTGAGTTTTTGAGTGGATTTTGGTCATGTCCATTATTTATAAAATTCTGCATCATTTTTAAGTTCTAACATTAAATCTGAATTCTACAATGCAAATTGAACTATATTCAATGAAAAAACCGCGCTTAAATTTCATTTAAATAGAATTAAGCTAGGGACTATATTTTGTGGCGGAAGGTTTTTTTTAGACGAAAATGATCAGTTTTTCCCCTTTTGAACTATAACAGTACTTTTAATTTTGGATTCCTAATGTTCCTTGCTGGTTGCACACAAAGCTGTTTCTTGCAGTGAAATGTGTTATGCTGGTTCTGAAATATCTATTAAATTATTTCTTATGAATTCTTTCAACAAAGTGTGACAGATATAGTAAATATATTCTGAAAACCCGGGAAAAAATAAATTTTAACATAAAATTGACACTTTTTTAGTAATAACTGAAAATTTACATCATATACCCCCACTTTTGATGTTCTTTTCTAAATATTCAAGATACCTTTGACCTATTTGCTTAAAATCAGAAAAAGTTTAAGACTTTAAAATAATTTTCTTGCTTATTAAATTTTCAATGCCGGAAAAATCACATTTATTTAGTGCAGAAAGGTCAAATAATTGATTATGCGAAGCAATTTGAAATTTTTTCTTAGTCACAATTTTAAAGTGTCTCTTTTTAAACAAACTTAGAGTTCATTTTGTTTCATGCTTTAATTGGATAAAAATATTGGAGGCAAAACTTCAAAAATTTAATTTTTGATTAAGACACAAATTTCAGTGCAAAAAGGTCATATTAAATGTACTGCAGCGCCAAAAGAAGCGTATTGACCCCCATTTTATGATGTGAATTTTAATTAAGCTATGTATGTAGAAACTAAAAATATACTTGGCAAAAAAAGTTTAAGACTTTAAATATCAGGATCGAACGTCGTTAACTTTAATAATAATTTATTTGCCCTTCCCAACTCAGGATAAAATAAAATGAGGTGGTAGGCTGATGGAGAAATGTTGTTCTCAGAAATTTTTTATGCTAAATTTACAAAATCTATTAAAATTGAAGGTTTTTATAAAAAAAAAATGAAATTAATGAAATGGGTATAATAATGGGAAATTATTTCCAAAATAAAGGTTTCCTGGAGGTTTAATTTTTTTGAAAGTCATGCACCTGCAGCATTAGCTTGTATGTAAACCATGAACGGTCACCATGACAAATGGTCAAAAGTTGAGATAATTCTTAATTATTTTCAAAATTTACTGAATATATAAATACATGTATGTACTTGCAACAAAATGAATTACTTCAATGTCTGTTTCTTAAATATTTTTTTTTTATCTAATTAAAGATTTTGAATAGTGGCTATATCATTTTAACAAGTGAAATAAGTATTTTTGAAAATTTTCATTTGTTTCCAGCAAGTAAAATTAACATCAGTAATAGGTGTTGGGATGAGTCACTTTCCTTTGTATATAAATGACCCCCCTTACCATATTGTTTCTGTGATGGACAGGAGTCAGGTCCAAATTCATCCCCTTTAAGTGTTTTGCTATACATTTGAAAACTCTGAAAGACCCTCCTCCCTCACAGCCATTAAGATCATCTACCTTAACAATTTTCTACTGGAAAACATGCAAGTACAAAATTTTTGCTTCTGAAACTTTTTTAATTTTGGTGCAGAAATTTCATTATCACATGTACATTTGTCACTCAGATTTGCTTTTCGGTACAAAATATTTATTTGTTTGTACTTTCTTTTACTTTTTTGTGCTTTTTATGTTTATGTTTCTTGTGTTTTGATTGTTTTTTGTGTGATTTTGTCCCCTCTTGACTTGATGTTGTGTTAGACAATTCAGAGTTATTCCCCTTTTGCTCTTCAGACGCTAAGATGGCTTCACTGTCTACTCTACATCCTGCAGATTCAGTGCCCTCTGGGGAATTTACATCTTCAGAATCACTTCTTTCATTAACCACAGAATTCTTCCTGTTCTTTTTGGTTTTTCTATCATTATCCCTGAAGCCTTTTCTCTTATGTTTTGACTTTTTTTTTCTTGTGGGTGATTGGGAATGATTTCTTGTTTTAGATTTTTTCTCACATTCAGAAATATCACTCCCTGAGAACTCATTGCTGTCACTCCAAGACCTTTTCTTTTTGGTTTTGGATGCTTTCTTCAGTTTTTTACTTTTACCCTGTTCCTCCATTTTTGCCTCATTGTCAGGACTTCTATGTTCCTCCGAATGATAAGATCTTTTATACATGTATTTTTCCTGCATGCACTCCTCCATTTTTTCGTAGTAATTCATGTGTTTCTTGTAGTTCTGAATATACTCCATGTAATCCTCATGATAAATGTCCTCCTCCCCCAGTGATCCTCCCCTCTGGAATGTAGATCTTCCATTAGCTGTGTGATTTATCCTGCTGCCCTTTTCGTGCTTTCTTCTGTGGTCTTCATATGGCTGCTGGTTACCTGAGAACCTCCTGCTATATGGATCATAACGCCCCCTCACATTATTTCTCCTGTATGACGATTCTGATGTATTTTTCTCCCTCTTGTCCTGGTAACTTTTGGAATATCTTTCAGAACTCTTTCTCTGTCTGTCTTTCTGTGAGTGCCTTCGTTTCTTTCGTCCATTAGAGCTATCAGAATCACTAGACTGTCTCTCATTGTTAAATCTGCTCTTCTGTAGAGGGTTCCTTAATGTGCTGACCAGCATGTTACTTAGGAACCTCTTGTTAGTTGACTTTCCTGGATTCTGCCTATAAATAAGATATAAATGATAGGATTAACTACATGTATTTAAGACAACAATTGTGTTCAGCAAAACAACGGTCAGTCGGATCACTTGACGTCTTATTGCAGATTCCTCCCTTTTCTCAGTACACAAGTGAAAATCTCTTCAGCACCCATATTCTTGATGTATTTTTAAGTTTCTAACAGTTTTCATCTATAAACTTGGAGTTATAAAACAGATCACCATCAATTTATGAGAATGCAGAAGTATACAAGAACAATGAATATAAGCTTTGCAAAAAGAAAACGGTGGTCCTCAGAACTTTAATATTATAAATAAATTAATTATATAACACAATTATTTAATTGATGTCTTTTTTATGTCTCAAAGTTAAAAATTTTAGACACAGACCCTTCTGTCTCTTCTGCATTTTAACTTTAAGGTGTTAGTTAACTTTCAATACCTTTCTCATGTTTGTTTTCTAAATTTAAACTGCTGCAGTAGAAATTTTCGAATACACTGTATAAGGTTTTATTGAAGGGTTTGATTTAGTGTTTCATGGGTAATTACCATCCCAAGGATCCAAATTCTTTGGCTCTCTCTCTCTGCATTTCTCTTGGACTCTTTTAGTATTTCTTCCATCGCCATTCTTTAAAAAAATAAAATAAACACAAGTGCTGAGATTATAAGGCCTAATATGTATATACATGTATTACAAATATAGGCCAAGAAACTGTAACTCGTACACAGATGACAACTACCTTTTTTTTAACTTTCAGAATTTTTAGAAGAGTTATTACTTGAAAGATCAGCGGCAGTAAGTTAGTTAAATACGGGAAAATACATGCATATATGTATAATGTAAACGGTGGTTGAAGTGAGAAAAGGGTCAAAAATAGCATTTTCCCTTGTGCTGATTTAGTATTTGTATACGACTTAAAAAAAAGATATTTATATGCCCCAAAAAGACCCTGTGGTATAATATATATCATCGCAGGTAGCCCATGGGTGATTCACATCGATTTTCTCAGAGGGAGCTTGTGGACTCAATCCCGTGGTTTGCGATGTCAATGGGTACATGCTTAAAACTTTTGCCTTAATTTTACAAAAAGGAGACAAAAATTGGACAAAACTCACATATAAATAGCTTAATCAAGCTATTCTGAATAGCTTCATGAAGCTAATATCAGCTATTTCAAGAGATTGTGGACCTGGTCAGCATGATTGTCAGAACATAGAAACAGGAATCGAACAGCCAATACAAATTCATTGAAATTTTAAAAAAATCGCCTCTTAACCTGTTCCTGACATTTCATTGTTTAGCACTCCTGTCCTACCTTTCCAAATCTTCGTCTGTCAGAGCTGCCATGATCAAACTTTGGTTACCTGTAGACCAAACCCGACTTTTTTTCAGATAAATATCTGAGTTAAAGAATTATCTATTATAATCCTTCTTATGAAGCCTTGTTGTGTTCGATTTATACAAGAAACCATAGACTTTATATGAGCATTTCATGATTTAATTTGACGAAAAATGATAAAAAATGAAAACGAAACCAAAAAAAGAAAGTGGGATCGACGCATGCGCGAATGAAAGGGGAAAACAGAAATGTCAAAGGAGAGGAAAAACAAAATTTGGTAATTTTTTTTTACATTCATTTCATATAGGTTTTTAATTTATGTGTCTTTATTTGAGAATATGTGTAGATTCTTGTTCAAAACATTGAATAAGTACAGTAGTCGTTACAGGAATCGAAGATCTATCAGCTGTTTATTACGCCATTGTGAATATGAAAAAAAAGATTTCTTCCACAGACACCTGAATTTTTATCAATAAGTCACTAAACAAGTTGCTGTCCTTTAAAAAAGGACTGCAATATGTGGACCATATGCACGTTTTTCTAACTGAAATTCAATTAAGAAAAAGTTTAGGTGTAGGTTGGTTTGTTCACATTTTCTACAACGATCTGCTTGAATATGACTGATCAGTCTAGTCGAACCCTCAAACGGGGGTAAACGGATGTTGGAAACCCGTACCCTCAAACGGGGGTACGGCGCATGCGCAGACACTCAAAAAGTGCCGTTTTCACGGAAAAACGTGTGGTCCACAAAATATGCTCGTGCAAAGTGATGGATTATTTCGTAGCTCTGTATGTACTCAAATTTGATAGATTAAAGATGTTTAAAGAGATTGTATTGCGAAAAAGTATATGTTTATTGTAAAAATCGAGACTTTTTCTCTCCCAAAGTTAGCGTATTCTGTGTCTTGACCTCCGTGTTTGATACAACTAGATTTTTTATGCATAATTTAATAAAACGGATGAATAAACAAACAATGTTTTGTTTAAAGTTAAACTACATATAATTCCGTTCCCCGGTATAACAAATTTTGTGTAATGAACATGTTATTTATTATTTTTCGACACTTTCTTCAGTGCCCGTCCGAATTTCCTCTGTCATGTAAACAAACTTTTGTGTTTCAGAAATGAGGTAAATAAAAACGAAAATTTATGGAATGCCATATACGACAGCCAACTGCTTACTGCCAACTGCTGACTGTTTACTGCCAACTGTCAGCTGCTTACTGCCAACTGCCACACATATCTGAATAAATTTTATTTTTGTATTGATATATATGTAAATTTAAAAAAGAGGCACGGATCTATAGGACATTTTTTCCAAGAGGGTCACTCTGATTAAAAAAAAAAAAAATACAAACCAGAAATTTCTTGAAAAGAAAAAAATACGTAAAGTCCTTTCGTAAATGTGAAAATCTATTTCGGCCGGGGAGAGGGGGTTCTTATGCGTCATACCTTCATGTGTATGAAATTTTTCATACCAACTTAACACGAATCCACATTTTCGGTTGGGGGGGGGGGTTCTAAGGTCCCTTTTAGTTGATTTATTTTATATATTAAATAACTTTTAGTTGGTGTAGTTTGTGCATTAAATAACTTTACAAATTTTAGAGGGGTGTTCCGGACCCCTCTCTCTAGATCTATGCATGTAAAACATATTTTATTTGTACAAACAAAGAGATATAAATGTTTGGTCGGCGTTTTCTAACTGAAGGGTCCAAGGTCTGTTATACCGGTAGTTCGTTTAGTTTATTTAACGTATGACTGTACAAATTTTAAATGCCCCCCAGATCTATGCATGTGAAACATCACAGCGACGTAGCAACATTCCCACTTTTTTTCCCAACATTACCTTTACTATTGAAAATGTATATTGAAAGGATGGTTGCCCCCCCCCCACTTCTTACCATAGTATAGTGATATCAAGGATATGTGGTATTGTGTGGAAAAAAATGTATATAAGTGAAAGGTAGTTGGCCTTAAAAAAAAGTTAGCCCCCCCCCCCCCCCCCCCCGAAATAGGATTTTCGACTTTGGGCAACTGTTTCCTTTTTTTTTTTTTTTTTTTTTTTTTTTTTTTTTTTTTGCTTGTCAACTTTTTCAGGTAAGTAAAAAAAATTTTCTCTGGTTGCCCCCCCCCCTTTCAAAAACGATGCTTCGTGCCTGCATTATAACACACAGAGATATACATCTTTAATTTGATTAAATTTTTAACTATAGAATATAATGGAAAACGGAAATTTATTTTCAAAACATCTTTCTCTGCGAAACGGCAAATCTTTTTTATTATTATTCTCTCTTCAAAGGTTTTGTTGTCTCCGGGGGAGGGGGGAGGGGGCTTCTTTAAAGATTAAAGCAGAAAATAGTCATTTTATTACCTATTTCAAATAGGAAAACAAGTAAAAAAAAAATAAACAATGTACTTTATCAACCGCATATATTGAATATTACATAAGATAAAACATATTGGTCATTTTATTCAATTCAATTTTACCAGGGTGACCCCCTTGGAAAAAATGTCCTGGATCCGTGCCTTTTTTTCCCTTTTTTGTGAAAATTCACATAAATATCAAAACAAATATAAAATTTATTCAAATACGTGTGGCAGTTGGCAGTAAGCAGTCAGCAGTTGGCAGTAAGCAGTTGGCTGTCGTATATGGCATTCCATAAAAATTATTTTATTATTTTTTTTAAATTGAAAACAAAGGTGTAGACAATTCATTTTTGTATGTTTATGATTTTTTTTTTTTAAATTATTTTTCAAATAAGAAGAGTTATCGTTCTTCTGCTTTCGCGCGTTGCATTTAGGGAAGGAAAACCCTCGTTTGAGGGTATACCCCCGTTTGAGGGTTCGACTAGACTGCTGATTGAAGTCTCAAAGCAAAATTGTTAAATTTTTATCTATGATTAGCGGACTTTAGTTTTGTCAGTTTAAAAAATCGGGCTACATGTATTTTGATACGTGTAACCCATACTGGCTGGGACTTGACACCTGTCCTGGATTTATACGGAAGAAATCAGCTATCACGGGAAAAATGGAGATCTGATGGTTCATGAGTAGCATAGCTCTGTAGTACGCAGTTTTTTTTTTGTTGAAGCCCCCCCCCCCATTAAAAACCGTTACTACAGACCTCTATCAAACGATATTTTGATTGCTGAAATGTTAAATAAAAAATATGTTGCGAGCCTTGATCGTGTTGATGTACAAAACTAATGCCGGAGAAATTTGTTCTATCTTTTAAAAGCTAGAACTTGTCGTTGAATGATGTTTTTCATCGTTGAATGACGTTTTTCATTCAATTTTTTAAGTTCATGTACATGTATCTATATACTGCAAGTTC